TGTCTAGTCAACCTTCTCCCCTCAGTCTATCTGAGTTCTTTTCTATTTGTAGTGGTGTCCTAGTATGTCCTTGTGACGAAGCGTCGCCCTAACAGGGTCAAGGGTTGACGCAGATGATTGGCAGTGATATATAGGACAGTATGGCTTCCCACTCAATCAGTGTGTGTCGGATATCTCTTCAGTTGTCCATGTGCTAATATGACCACCCATTTCCAGGTCAAGCTCATTCAATCGTGCTGGCAGGCCTCGTTCTATTCTAATCCCTTCCAGATCTGACCCCCTCATACAAACTTAGAATGTATATGTATTGTAGCGTAACATTTTACCAGTATATATAGCAATACAATATTTTGTCAGTGGCTATTATATTGACTGTCGACGAGTTTTAAAAACCCGAGAACTGGGAGGAAAAAACCTGAATTTTGGGTGATTTGACGACAGGTGAAAATAATGTGTCCGAAACCTAATTATGAAACCTACTCAAATGCGTCAAAAACGGGTCGTTTCCACCCGGTTTCTACTCGTTTTATAACAACCCGTTTACCTAGTGAAAGTACCGAAAACTACTCAATAAAACTAGTTTTTTGTATCATATCCGCCCGTTTAGCGGGTGATTTACCAGGTGAAAACAACTAGTTTTGGGGTCCATAGTGAACCATATAAGAAATGAAATTGCGCGGTAGCTCAGGGTTCGATTCCCTGTACCTGAACATATAGAGGGACTCTGTAAACATCTTTTTCGAGTTCTTCATGCAACATGGTGTGCCAGCTCACTGTGCCCAGGGCGTTTATATTTCAACGAGGCTCAGAGTCTGAAGTGCTGCGTGCATGATAAAAATTAAAATTCAGGAGTCACTCCAGTGTACCAATTGCAAGCATCCTCGACAGGAGAACCTAAGAACGTCGCGTATGGTGTAATGGCGAACATTGCTGCCTCTCACATGTATCTGGGTTGCTCTGGTTCCACGTATAAAAATGGCTCGGTAGCTCGGGGTTCGATTCCCTGTACCTGAACATCTCCAGAATATCACATGTATCTTTTTCTTCATGCAACATAGCATGCCTGGGGGTTTAAATAATTGAGCAGGGCTCGGCACTCGGTGCATGATAAAATTAAAAGTCAGCAGTGCAGAGTTGATCCACTTGTCCCTCCGATGCACAGGGCCCGCGAAACATCCTCGCACCTGGAAGCTTGAAAGAGGCAGGAGAAACCAACCAACCAGAGAATCAGACGTCGGGTATGGTGTAACGGCTAACATTGCCGCCTCTCATGGTAGAACAGGCGTGTTGCGCGGCAGCTCGGGGTTCGATTCCCCGTACCCGAACATCCAAGTGCGCTAGAAGTCTGAATTTTTTCCCCCCTCTGGTGCCGCGCGGCGCGTGTGTGTGCCTCTGGGGCTTGTCGTTCATTGCGTTCAGTGCTCAGTGCTCAGTCCTTGGTGCTCAGTGCTCAGTGTGAAGGGCAGATACACGCTACAATCGAGTCTTGACAGCCTTTGCGGTGTCGATACGCAGCACCAAGGTTTTTTGTTTGCACGCAGAGATGAGTAGCTGTAGGACCAGAATGGGTACGGTTTCTTGGGCAGATCGCTGTTGAGGCGGACAGAAACTATTGGGCACTGAGTACTGAGCGTCGTAGCCTGGCGCGTGATGAAGGTTGCTCGATTATCGCGCATCGCGTATCGTGTACATCGTACGCGCATTAGGGTTCAGCGGGGTATAGGATAGGTACATGCGCGCGCTGACGGACGCGGGGAATCTTTATATTATATTTTGTGGGCGCCATCCCTCATCTAGGCGTCTTGCAGCGGGATCAGCCCCAGGCTGCTGTCGTGCTAGGGCAGAGGTCAGCCGCGATCGCAAAAACTACGGAGCGCACACACCTGTAGTTGACGATCAAGTGCCCCTCGGTCGAAAACGACTGGAAGAGATAAGCGAGATCCACGAAGGAAACGGACACGACGCACCTTGAAGAGATTGGACACGGTGTCGTCGGGGGCAGGGGAGAAGGCGAGGTTGACGTAGGTGAAGAGGGGCTCGCCGGGGGCCCAGCCGAGCTCTTTGCGGAGAAACTGGATGACGGCCTGGAAGCGGTTGGAAGAGGTGATTTTGTAAAAGTTTTGCTTCATGATGGGGGCGTTTCCGACGGCTTTGAAGCGGACGATGACTGGGTGGGGTTAGTGGGAGTGGGGTATGAGGTGAGGTGTGGGGAGTGACGCACCTTTGGAGGGATCGCGCTGCTTGTAGACGTCGAGGGCCTTTGAGGCTTCTGTGAACGAGTCAGAGTGCTCTGGTGCGGCCCATGGGAGGAGGGAGCGGTCTGCCATGATGGGGGTGACGAGGAGGGTGCGTGACGTCAGGGGAGCGTGACGGAGCCGAACTGAGGGTGACAGATTTTGCTTCCTGCGGCCATGGGGAACGCGGCATCGCAGACGCCTGGGCCTCGTGGTTCGACGCCAATGAGCGTACGCGCGCGCCAGAACTCGACCTCGCCGTCCCCCGGAAACCCCCACTCGTCCCTTCGCACGAAGAAGAAGTCGCTCGAGCTGCCCGATCTCGCCTCGCTCACGCTCTCCTCGACCCGCGGCAGACAGCAGTCGATTCCGCCCAAGTCTGCCTCGATCCCGATCCCCGCTGGCCCGCAGCCTGTGCTCGCCATCCCCGGCGAGGCCGGCCGCACGCGTGCGCCGATCACGCTGCCGTCCAACGCCGATGTGCAGGAGCTCGTCCGCCACGAGCCGCCGACGCACCAGCCGTTCCCCCCGCCGTCCCGTACGAGCCGCTCCGCCCAGCGCCGCCAGAACACACAGCAGCAGCGCATCCAGGAGCTCTACAACCAGTCCCAGGCGCCCCCGCCCCGCCAGGCCAAGAACGTCTTTGTCCCAGAGACCGTCATCTCCACCATCCCCATCGCACTCACAAAGGCCACCCTCTCCCCGCTTGCTGTCCCAGACCGCCCGCCCGAGCTCGTCCCCGTCAAGATCACATGGACGGGCGGCGGCAGGTCCGTCTTTCTCGCACGTGCCGGCGACGACGACTGGAAGGGCCGTCTTGCCATGACTCCAGAGTCCGTTTTCCCCTAAATTGCGCCATTCTGGCACTGACACCCGTTCTAGGTCCCCTCGGTCCCAGATCTACCACGCCACCGTCTCCCTCCCGCCAGGCACGCACCACATCCGCTTCCTCATCGACGATCTCTGGCGCGTCGCCGACGATCTCCCCACCGCCGTCGACGACCAGGGCTCCCTCGCAAACTACGTCGCCGTCCCCATCACCTTTTCCTCCGCCTCTGCCTCCCCGCCCGCCCCACCGCCCCCGCCCAGCAAACCCAAACCAGGCCAGAGCTTCTGGAGCGCCGCCTCTTCCACAGACGACGACGACTCTAACACCGCTCCCACCGACGCCCCCAACGGGCATGACCCGCCCAACCACCACCACCACCACCACCACGTCCCCAAATGGACCAACGTCCTCCCGCCAGAACTCATCGAAGCCGCGCGCGAGGAGGAAGCCTACCTCGCTGCCTCCGAGCCCGCCCAGGGCACGCACCGCGTCGCCGGCTTTGTCCCGGCGCCCAACATCCCCCCGGCCCCCGGCCTCCCGCGCCACCTCGACAAGCTCATCCTCAACGCGCGCGCGGTCACCGGCGGCGCGGGCGGTGCGGTCGTCGGCGCGGGCGTGCCTGGCGGGAGCGGCGGGTCCAGCGGCAGCGGGCCGGGCCGTAGACGGGGCGAGGGGAGGTACGGCGCGGTGGCGGGGGCGAGTAATAGTGTCGGTGGACGGAGCAAGGGTCGCGAGAGGGAGAGGGAGCGCAGGGACCGGGAGGAGAGGGATGAGAGCGACCGGAGGAGGTATGGGGGCCATCGCGAACGGAAGAGCGACCCCCCGCCTCCGCCCCCGCCGAGCGAGACGGGGACGCTGGACGAGGTGGTGCTGCCTACCCCGGCACCAGAGGTCGAGGTCACTGCGCCTGTCGAGGATGCTGATGCTACTCTTACCCCGGTACCCAACTCGCCCGACCCCAACGCGAACGACAGCTCCGCACCCGAGTCCCCTGCTCCGTCGGAAGAGTCCACTCCGGTCCCGACGCCGTTTGTGCCGTCGTTCCTCCCCCCGGCGTCGTCCACCACCCCCGCCCCGCTGAGCCTCGTCACCTCTCCGCCAGCCTCCACCACCCCCGCGTCCACGCCCACGCCCACCCCGACCCCGACTTCGCGTCCGCTGTCCCTCGGCCTCGAGGCGAACACCCCTGCGCTGACGGACGATGGGAGTGTCCTCCCCGTCCCGTCGCATGTCGTGCTGCACCATTTGTCGACGAGCGCTATTCGGAATGGGGTCCTCGCTGTCGGGAATACGACGAGGTACCGGAAGAAGTATTTGACTACTATTTATTACAAGCCTACGTAGGTTTACGTGGTGGGGAGTTGTGTGTTACTTTTTCTTTCTTTTTCTTTTCTTTCTTTCTTTCTTCTTTTTTCCGGGATGCGTTTTAGCTATGGCTCTGATCGTTCGTATATGGCCTCCCCGGCCCCGTTTTTTTCTGCACGTTTTGGTTATCGATTGTTACTCCGGGCGTCGTAGATACAGGCGCTCTGCCTTGCGCTCTCGTGTGTCTTTCTGTCTGTGTCCCGCAAAAATCATTTTTCGCGTTTCGCGTTTTGCGTTTTGCGTTTCAAGTTATCAGTTGACGTTTCGCTCAGGCTGGGCCCGTTCATCGATCAACTTGTCGCTTTTCCCTTTTCGCTTTTCGCTTCTCGCTTTTCCCTTGACGCTTTACCCCCCGACGTACCTCGAGCGTGACTAGTTGACTCCCCATATACATATGCATCTCACCCCGAATTCTCATCCTCCTGACGTGTCTAATTCTGGTCTGCGCGCCCCATCTCCTATCTTCTATCTCCTATCGCCCATTCCCCTTTCCCGTTCGCCAAGCTGGAGTCAATCCCATATTACTACTACTAGTATTGTTCTCGAACCCCCACGCCCACGTGCGCTCCGTTACCCCTAGCCGCGTTCCGCATCCCAGTTACCACCCGGGATTCCCTTGTCACGATCTCATACGTAGTCTCGTCGACGTCTCATACGTTCACGTACGCAATATTTTATGGCACACTTGGGCGTGTGATAGCGTAACATGATATCAGAGAAACGTGGGTGTGGATGTGGATGCACTGGGCCTATTAGTATTTGGATCTACGCACTTGCGCCACCACGGCACTCGTCACTAGTCACTCAGTGCTCAGCATACCCCCCGAGTCCCTGTAGTGCGCATTCCTGCCCTACCCACACGACAGTGAGTGCTTGCGCTTAACGTCGAATTTCGAACGCTGAATATGTAGAACGCTGAACGCTGAACCCGGAGGCGCTAGGAAAAATTTTGTGTTTGGTATTCAATTTGAGATGATTCGGGTACGGGGAATCGAACCCCGAGCTGCCGCGTATACTTATATGTTGTTTCTACAAATGAGAGGCGGCAATGATAGCCCTACAACTACAAGCATGGCAGGGTGGGATGGCCAATTTAAAAGTTTGAATGAATATGAAATAAAAGCAAAAAAAAAAAGTGTTAAACGACAAGTCCCAGAGGCATGTGCACAGGGGGAAAAAAATATAATGTTTTTGGTGACCTACGTATGCTCAGGTATGGGGAATCAAACCTCGAGCTGCTGCGTATACTTATTTGCTGTTTCTACAAATGAGAGGCGGCAATGTTAGCTCTTACACCATACCCGACGTTTCTTTTTATCCCTTCTGCTGTTCAGATGGTGTGGGAATTACGATATGATAATGTGCATGCATGCATGTAAAGTGGACTTGGATGTGCGTGGTGGACAATGTGGAATGATACTGGAACTATTTGGATGTGGATGAGTGCGCCACTGCGCAGCCTGCCTGTAGAGCGTGCCTGCCCTACCCACATGACAGTGAGTTTGAACGCTCAACAGCCAAGTTTGAACGCTGAGCGCTGAATATTGAATGTTGAACATTGAGCGCCAGAGGCACCAAAAAACAGTGGTAATTGTATAAAATCCAAATTTGGCTACAGGATCCCAATTCAGGTACAGGGAATCAGACCCTGAGCTGCCGCGTATTTGACAAGGGAGAATCTGATGAGAGGCGGCAATGTTAGCTGTTACACCATACCCAACATTTTCTTCTGTCCCCTCTTCTGTTCAGATTGTGTGAAAATTACGATACAATACAATAGAGTCCAGATGGAATACATATCGACAGGTTCAGGGTGGTTGTAGATTCTACGATGTGCATGCCGCTGCATGCATGCATGTACAGTGCTCTCTCATGAAATTTCTTTGCTTGAATTATC